GTCATGTGTGCATACATTTTTACGTATGGGTGGTCCCGGGGATCGAACCCACTACCCTGGCGTTACAAGCGCCATGCTCTACCAATTGAGCTACAGAGGACCACCATCAGTGAGGAATCTTGAGGGTCCATGTCTGTTGAGAATTCCAGCACCAGGCACATGGGGTTCAATCTTAGAGACGGTGGCTCAACCTCTATCAACTGTGTGTCAATCTTATGCTTTATCATGGCTGTTGTATCAGCAACAATCATGAACAGATATAAAGATGTCGTTGTCGAAGCATTTGTTTAGGCCTAGGTTTAATTGTTCTTGGTTAAATGAATTACCCTATGTGAATTTGTTAGATCGGAAGGAAAATCAGTTAACAGTGATTCCTGAAGCATTGGATGTCACGATCGTTTACGAACGAGAAGGACCAAGGCGCAGCGTGATAAGCATACATGTTTATTTAACGAATAAACACCACGACAAAAAACTAACGAAACGTGAAGTCCAAGGTAGCATACACACAACATACCTTACACGGAACAAGATCCCACAACTAACAGGTGCCAAAAGGCTGCCTAAGTATGGTCCCCAATCAGAGACAACATAGATCTACACATACTAGATCTGAAACATAGAAAACAACATAGCAAACAACACAGAAAATACACACCCTGACTCAACAAATACAAGTCCTCAGAGTCAGGGCGTGACATTGGAGGTGAAACCCGTGAGGGCTAAAAGCTGTTTTTGTTCAAATAAAACATATGATGGACCGGGTATGTTTGTAGGAATATCAGATTGTGATAATTATATGATGACTTTGGGTAAGCATGAACGTAAGGTTAGTAATGAGAAATATAAAGTAACTTTTTATGTTCCATTTAGTAAGAAGAGCAGGACTTTGATGGTGAAAGATCAGCTTTTGCCTGGCAATGTGACTATTGGGAATTTTCGAGATATTTGTTGGGTTTGTGGTGATAAAGCATATATATTCTTACCCTATAGATGGACAGGATGTTGTTACATGTCGACGTTGAAGCTTCCATATGAGGTTTATACTATTCAAAAGGGGGAGGCACCGGACACTGATAAATCTGATACTAGGTCTGGAAATAGGGTGAAAAGGGAAATGGCGCAAAGTCTAGGAGAGAAGTGGGGACTTTGACTTTTTCCATGGTATGGTGTAACATCTTTGGCAGATCACATTGATAATATTACCTATACTTTGCAGGGTTTTGCAAATGAAACGATACGAGGGTTTAACCTTCTGTCAAATACTCAAAGAAGTCACAGACTGACACTGTTAAAACATGACATGGCTCTTGACTATATTTTAGCCAAACAAGGTGGCTTATGTTTGGCTATGAACTTGACAGGGGATGATTGTTATACTTTGATCCCCGATAGTTCAGATAATATCACTAGTGTTATAGATGCATTGAAGAATATAAGGGATGCGTTTGGTCGATCTGAAGGAGCTGGATGGTCAGCGAAGGCTTGGTTGCAAGATCAGTTAGGCCCAGCGGGAGCAGTGATAGTTCAGATTTTAGTAGCCGCTCTTGTAGCGCTGTGTGTGATGTTTTGCTTTTGTACTTTGTTATTGACTTTTGCGAAGGCTATGAAATTGAGATGCGTTGGAGTTGTGATGCCTGGAGACAACACTCAGATGCCGTTGTTAACTGTTACTGATCTAGATGGAGATAAACAAGTGGGACTGGATGGAGTATTGATGGATAGATATCCATTTTGAATATCCGATCATTTTTCACGTCTTTATATATTATTGTGATATTAAGTATTTTCTTATGAATCAAAGGGGGGAAATGGAATGTGATTCATTTTATATATCATTTGATATATCATTTTTTATATTATTGTTGATATTGATGTTTTAATTTGCATGTGTTGTTTTGCAAAAGATACTGGTTGGTGTTTTCTTTTCTTCCAGAAGCATATGGGGGAATGTGTAGAGGGGATTCAAATACTCAAACATGGACAATATGAATGGACTGGAGGAAGTGGAACAAGGAAGGTGTGGAAATGTTCTGATTCCATCATCAACGTTGCATTAAAAGTCGACACTGCTGAGGAGATGCAGTGTAGTGGACTACATTCCAGTGTCTGCAATGATATATATATATATATATATATATATATATATTTGCATGTGTAATACATAATTTGTGTCATATTCTTTCTGTATTAATTGATAAGAATTATGTTTTCTGTTGTTGGGTACATGTGGGGACCTCAGATGTTTTTGTTTTTTCGTGGATGCTTAGGGATATTGGGTCTAGGCAAGGACAGAGAGAATCCACAGGAGGGTCCGATGGGTCGACCAGCCTGAATGTGGACATTTTTGATTGTATTTTGTTTTCTGAGGCTTTCATGTGTATTCAATTGCATCATAGTTTAAAATGCATTGATGTAGATTTATAAATTGATCTGGAGTACTTAGGTGGTCGCCTGGGGCAGAGGGGCCATGAGAGAATTTTACTGTCTTGATTGATTGATGGATATTTGGAAAGAAAGCTGCCAGACAGGTTTTTCGCTCTTACACTCCATAGCGATTTGCTTACACTTCATAAAAATGTGTTCACACTACATACATTTTGTTTTATTGTTAAAGTTACACAAGATTTGTCATAATCCTATTATTTTTGTTTTCGAGACTTAATTAGTCTCGAAGGGGGGAAATATGTAGTATCTGAACATTCCAGAATTTGGCTCTGCTTGCGGAAACACCTGGAAAACATTACTATAGGGGCCCCCTAAAACAGAGGAGAGTCTGTTATGTGTAAAGGCCAGGGATTGGTCTATAAAAAACCACCCATATTATGTTACATATTATAAATACCATGGTTGGAACAAAGGACGGGGAGAAATAACATATTAGAGATTGGGTCAGTTGTTCTCCAGATGTCTGCAGGAGTCTGTAAATTGATAATGTTATCTTTGATGTAATAAACCATTATAATCAAGGACAGTGTCAGCAGATTTCTTGTCATCACAGCATATCAGCATCATTGTCTCGACACCACACCCTGTTCCTGGAGCGCTACCCTCCTGTAGGTTTTCGCTCCAAACCCCAGGTGTGACTAACCTGATTCATCTTATCAACCTGCTAATTATTAGAGTCAGGTGTGCTAGATTAGGGTTGGAGCAAAAACCTACAGGACGGTAGCTCTCCAGGAACAGGGTTGGGCAGTCCTGCTCTACAGGAACAGGGGTGGTAAGCCCTCCAATAGTGATTTGGGATTTGTAAAAAAGGAAATAAAAGTAGTGGCCAATAAATCACCAAATAATCTGAAAGTTATGCTAATCTGTTATGTTAACTATCCAAACGTTGTAATGCACCCATAAATTAAGAAGCAATGAAGTCCACCTGGAACGCACCCGTGTCGACCTGCAACCGCAGGCTAGCAATGAACGCACCTGTGTCGACCTACAACGCCTCCGCGGGCTAACGATGTGATGATTGTTGTAAAAAAAAATGTTTTATGTAACTAGGCAAGTCAGTTAAGAACAAATTCTTATTTACAATGACGGCCTACCCTAATCGGGTGAGCCAGCTGGGCCACGAGTTGCCGGAGGTCGTTCAGAGTTGATGTTTTACGTTTTAAATATTTTTATTAATTAATAATAATAATAAACCATTTAGCAGACGCTTTTATTCAAAGCGACTTATAGTCATGCGTGCCAAATTTTTTTTTGTGTGTTGTTAAGTTGCGTCAATTCAAATCTGGTATTGGAACAAAAAGAGGTCAATACACGTCTTCTAAAATAGACTAGTATTTTAATTAATGCAAAACACTTCAATGGTAAATATGATGTTCGTATATACGGGTCCACTGAAAAACCACGCAGGGTAGTCAGAGAACTGAGCCATCGATCTAAGTTCTTCTTTAAATACTCTGACAGAGATAGTTCCCGCTCCCTGCTGGCCTATCAGAGTAGAGACTGAGCGTGGTTTAGACTTACTCAGCCTATCGTTGGTGCACAGGCTGGTCCCAGTCCCCTTGGCGCTTCACTGTTGCCAGGTGTCAGTTGTTTTCTCCACAACTTGTCTCGAGTCAGCAACCTCAGACATCTTTGTAGCAGAACACATGTCCTTGAGCATTCTAACAAAGAGGCAGTGTGTGTGTATGTGAGACACAAGTCTTATCTCAGCCTACCCCCTAATAGTTCCCCACATTAATCACAGCTTGTTATGTTAAACAGTCTATATCAGTACAGCACAAACCTATTATGTTTAATCATTCATGTATTATTTCTAAGCTAACAGCACATCTAAAATATAAGATAATAATTTCCCACAGTGTATGGGTGGTCCCAGGGATCGAACCCACTACCTTGGCGTTACAAGCGCCATGCTCTACCAGCTGAGCTACAGAGCAATTAAGGTTCTGCAAATGCAATGCTCACTTATTATTTATTAATGACCATTTTGCTTCCTATGGCGGGCAAGGGAGGTCTGGTTGTCGGCCATGCTGGAAATGTGATCTTGCGTTATTGTGTCATTGTCAATACAGTACACATACACCACGATATTTTTATTATTATATTGATTTCTTTTTCTTTTTTACAGTAACATGTAAAACACAAAAAAAACAGAACAGCCAGAGGGATTACACAAAGAAATAAGGAAGAGAGAAAATAATAATAATAATAATAATACAAATCCACATTATATCAAATCAAATACAGACATGTAACAAATACATTTTTTGACATTTTGTTTTGTATACGTTTTAATGATGCTAAATAGTTTTCCAAATCTGAATTTTAAAAAACAATATTGTTTTAAAGGGGCATTTTTCTTCATACAATTTGATTCATATTGTACACCACGATATGAAACGTTGATTTGAACCTTCTGACCAGCTAGTGGGTCAGGCGGCGCCCCACTGTCTGATTCATATCGCGTGATTTCTGATGATTGTTCTCGATTATATCGACTGATTGGTTCTGTATGGGGTGCACCTGATGGTTCAATACATCTATTGCCAAAACGTCAACTCAAAGTTACGCATGTGCATGACGTTATTTCCACTCAGGTGAGTTGGCCAGTCGCCCCAGCCACACAACATACTGAAAACATGGCTGCTTCTGTGCGGGTGAGGACGTGGAACAGCACGGCTAGCTCAGTGAAAACCTGGCTGCTTTATTTGACAGGGATTATTTTACTAGGAGATGTAAATAGCGGGGTAATGGCAGCTCCAGAACCGGGACAATGGAGCATTACAGTTGTCAATGTGAGTATTAAAATATTTAATCTAGCTAGCTAGAACAACAGTGCGATTCATTTGAGCTAGCAATCCAACATAGCTAGCATGGGCTTGGATGCAAGGGTCGTTTTTCTGTTCATAAAATTGAACATTATTGATTAATAATGCATTTTCCTGAACATATTCAGGCTTTATCGATATGCACAAGCCGTTGTAACAAACATGAATGTTTTATCTGACCGCTAGATATCTGGTTAAGGAGCCTATGCTACCAAACGGTCAATTAAAGATATAGCCACAGAGTTTCTAAAACCAGAGGCGCAACATCGCGAGACTTCCGGGAACGCTTGCCAAGTAGACCAGGCCCGGATTTGGGGTTGGAGAAGTCAATGTGAAACATTGTTCCTTAGTTGTACGTTTCCTCGAAATCTAAAGGCACAACATAGATTCGAGCCAATGTCTTAAGTAGATGAACACGTTTTTACTCCAACCTCGTGAAAGTGACAAACTGACACGTTTATATTTTCGTCAAAAACAACTTTACATCGAAAGAGTGGCTTTTGCTTTTTGACGGCGTTCACATGCGCAGTTCGGCGCAAGACGAGATTACGTGTTTCTGCGCATGAGTTTAGCTAGACATCGTCGCCATGACATCGCCTACAAGCGTGATTGGGGATTTATATTGGAGAAGCAGTGTTTGCCGATCTTTATATATTAATTTCTTGGCCAAACATAGCTAGGTTAGGCATGTAGCTAGTTAAAGTTACATAGCTAAATCTAAACAAACAACACGAGACACAGACCACTGTACTGTACTTAGGGCTAGATCATTGCCTGCAATTTAGCCCAGATAGAAGATAAGCCTACCAATCATTCAGCTAGTTAAATTAGTGAGCTAACTAATGTTCAGATTAGAATATGTGGGCTATGACAAATCTATTTGGTAGACTAGCTACTGTGTCCAATGAATTGAAGAGGTCTACCAGTAATTTGCTTTCAAGTTAGTGAAGGGAAGTGAACAAGTGCACAAGAGAGGTAGGCTAATTGGGACGTAACCCCGGTTTTCCATGGAGGTGGTCAGGTGTCTGTCCACCACCATATCCTGTTGCAGAGTAATGTGAGCGCTGCCCATTGCCTGCCTAGGGACTCCCAATAATGGTTACCAGGGTCTATATGAAGTGTCTGAGTAGGAATGAGTGCTGATCAAGGATCAGGTCCCCCCTGCCCATGTAATCTAATTTAGTGCGATCTGAAAAAGCTAAACTGATTCTAAATCATCACTCTTAGTCAGAGGCTGGATACATACAGCCCCAGATGAGAGAAAGGACACGAGTGCTGTGGTTTATGGTGGGAATAGGGTTTCCTCATATAACTGAATGTCATGGGTGCATATATTATATGAATGGGGAATCCCGGGAATCAAACCCTCTATCCTGGCGTTGAAAGCGCAATGCTCTACTAACTGAGCTACAGAGGACCTGTTAGGCATTAGGCCTAGACTACACCAGAGTTAGGACTGACTATCACTCAGTTTAACTAATGCGAATGTAAACACTATTTCCTCTTCTTCACAGACCTCAAGACCATTACTTTTGAGGAAATCCATGTATAAAGACACTGATATCAAATTGAAAGGTAAGATTAGCCTATGTTTGATGTCAATGTGGTTTGTCATACTGTATATCGGAAATGCCTCGCGTAAGGGCGACTTACAGTTAGTGAGTGCATACATTTTTTTTTTCATACTGCCCCCCCCGTGGGAAACGAACCCACAACCCTGCTCTTGCTAGTGCCATGCTCTACCAACTGAGCTACTATTTTATGTTTATCTATTTATAAATATTATTTTTAACTGCATTGTTGGGAAAGGGTAAGCATTTCACGATAAGTCTACACGTGTTGTATTTATTTGTGACAAATAAAATGTCATTTGATTTATCTGAGGCCTCTATGAAAACAGGCACAGCTCATATATATATATATATATATATATATATATATATATATATATATATATATATATACACACGTACAGTGGGGAGAACAAGTATTTGATACACTGCCTATTTTGCAGGTTTTCCTACTTACAAAGCATGTAGAGGTCTATACTTTTTATCATAGGTACACTTCAACTGTGAGAGACGGAATCTAAAACAAAAATCCAGAAAATCACATTGTATGATTTTTAAGTAATTAATTTGCATTTTATTGCATGACATGAGTATTTGATCACCTACCAACCAGTAAGAATTCCGGCTCTCACAGACCTGTTAGTTTTTCTTTAAGAAGCCCTCCTGTTCTCCACTCATTACCTGTATAAAAGACACCTGTCCACACACTCAATCAAACAGACTCCAACCTCTCCACAATGGCCAAGACCAGAGAGCTGTGTAAGGACATCAGGGATACAATTGTAGACCTGCACAAGGCTGGGATGGGCTACAGGACAATAGGCAAGCAGCTTGGTGAGAAGGCAACAACTGTTGGCGCAATTATTAGAAAATGGAAGAAGTTCAAGATGACGGTCAATCAACCTCGGTCTGGGGCTCCATGCAAGATCTCACCTCGTGGGGCATCAATGATCATGAGGAAGGTGAGGGATCAGCCCAGAACTACACGGCAGGACCTGGTCAATGACCTGAAGAGAGCTGGGACCACAGTCTCAAAGAAAACCATTAGTAACACACTACGCCGTCATGGATTAAAATCCTGCAGCGCACGCAAGGTCCCCCTGCTCAAGCCAGCGCATGTCCAGGCCCGTCTGAAGTTTGCCAATGACCATCTGGATGATCCAGAGGAGGAATGGGAGAAGGTCATGTGGTCTGATGAGACAAAATATAGTTTTTTGGTCTAAACTCCACTCGCCGTGTTTGGAGGAAGAAGAAGGATGAGTACAACCCCAAGAAAACCATCCCAACCGTGAAGCATGGAGGTGGAAACATCATTCTTTGGAGATGCTTTTCTGCAAAGGGGACAGGACGACTGCACCATATTGAAGGGAGGATGGATGGGGCCATGTATCGCGAGATCTTGGCCAACAACCTCCTTCCCTCAGTAAGAGCATTGAAGATGGGTCGTGGCTGGGTCTTCCAGCATGACAACGACCCGAAACACACAGCCAGGGCAACTAAGGAGTGGCTCCATAAGAAGCATCTCAAGGTCCTGGAGTGGCCTAGCCAGTCTCTAGACCTGAACCCAATAGAAAATCTTTGGAGGGAGCTGAAAGTCTGTATTGCCCAGCACACACACACACACACACACACACATATGTATGTATACGTATGTTTTTTTTTTCTAAGTTGCCGAAATGCCACGTATATCAGTGCCATGTACACTACCGGTCAAAAGTTTTAGAACACCTACTCATTCAATTTTTTAAAACTATTTTCTACAATGTAGAATAATAGTGAAGACATCAAAACTATGAAATAACACATGGATTCATGTAGTAACCAAAAAAAGTGTTAAACAAATCAAAATGTATTTTATATTTGACATTCTTCAAATAGCCACCCTTGATGACAGCTTTGCACACTTGGCATTCTCTCAACCAGCTTCATGAGGTAGTCACCTAGAATGCATTTCAATTAACAGGTGTGCTTTTTAAAAGTAAATTTGTGGAATTTCTTTCCTTAATGCGTTTGAGCCAATCAGTTGTATTGTGACAAGGTGGTGGTGGGGGTGGGGGTATACAGAAGATGGCCCTATTTGGTAAAAGACCAAGTCCATATTATGTCAAGAACAGCTCAAATAAGCAAAGAGAAACGACAGTCCGTTACTTTAAGACATGAAGGTCAGTCAATCCGGAAAATTTCAAGAACTTTGAAAGTTTTTTCAAGTGCAGTTGCAAAAACCATCAAGCGCTATTATGAAACTGGCTCTCATGAGGACCGCCACAGGAATGGAAGACCCAGAGTTCTCTGCTGCAGAGGATAAGTTCATTAGATTTACCAGCCTCAGAAATTGCAGCCCAAATAAATGCTTCACAGAGTTCAAGTAACAGACAAATCTCAACATCAACTGTTTAATCAGGCCTTCATGGTCGAATTGCAGCAAAGAAACCACTACTAAATGACACCAATAATAAGAAGAGACTTGCTTGGGCCAAGAAACACGAGCAATGGACATTAGACCGGTGGAAATCTGTCCTTTGGTCTGATGAGTCCAAATTTGAGATTTTTGGTTCCAGCCGCCATGTCTTTGTGAAATGCAGAGTAGGTGAACGGATGATCTCCGCATGTGTGGTTCCCACCGTGAAGCATGGAGGAGCAGGTGTGATGGTGTGGGGGTGCTTTGCTGGTGACACTGTAAGTGATTTATTTAGAATTCAAGGCACACTTAACCAGCATGTCTACCACAGCATTCTGCAGCGATACGCCATCCCATCTGGTTTGGGCTTAGTGGGACTATCATTTGTTTTTCAACAGGACAATGACCCAACACACCTCCAGGCTGTGTAAGGGCAATTTTTCCAAGAAGTAGAGTGATGGAGTGCTGCATCAGATGACCTGTCCTCCACAATCCCCCGACCTCAACCCATTTGAGATGGTTTGGGATGAGTTGGACCGCAGAGTGAAGGAAAAGCAGCCAACAAGTGCTCAGCATATGTGGGAACTCCTACAAGACTGTTGGAAAATCATTCCAGGTGAAGCTGGTTGAGAGAATGCCAAGCGTGTGCAAAGCTGTCATCAAGGGTGGCTATTGTAAGAATCTCAAATATAAAATATATTTTGATTTGTTTAACACTTTTTTTGGTTACTACATGATTCCATATGTTTTATTTCCATGACTGATCAAAACTCGTTTTCTCATGGCTCTCTCTTGTCCTCCTGCAGCAGCAATATGTTTGGAACATCGAATCACAATAAAATCACAGTATCGAATCGCAATACATATAGAATCGCTATTCATATCGTATTGAACCTAAGTATCTTGTTAATACCTTATTGTGAGGTCCCTGTCAATTCCCAGCCCTACTTTGTGGGCTTATTTTCGTGGACAGATTTTGGGCGGCGTAAAACCTCTCGCTTCAGCCTCTTCATCTCTGCCGCTACTCATGAAGGTCCAGGATTCGTTTCAGTCAAAGTACCAAACGCTCAAGAATACGGATCATTAAGGGATATGAAAGCGCCCTAAGAACTACCTCAGTAACCATGTTTCCATCAAACCTTTTTATGCGAGTAAAGTACATTACGGATAAAACTTGTCACGACAGACCTGATGGAAACAGCAAATTTGTCGGTCAACTTTCCAAATGTCGACAAAACAAAATACGCTAGACAAGGTGGGATCTTTTTGTGTCAGTAAAATTAATAATGCAAGAAAGGGCAATGGAAATGCTTTATGCGCAAATATTGATATAATAACTATCATATCGAAGTAATCTTGGAGTCCTCCCACTACAACTCAGGAAATAATGCAGTTTATTATGCTACAGATGAAGTACGTTATGATGAACTTCAAGGTGGTGAAAGTGCACACAGTGATTAATGTTCCTTTCCAATAAATATTGAGGGTCTTATTCTGGAGACATGATGATTGATGCTTGGCTCCTTTAGACAAATATAATTTGTCCATAATAATCGAATTTAGGCTATCCTACCTGCAGTTATTCTGCGAGCAGAGTGGGCACATTCGCAATATAACGCAACATTTGTTTTTGACAAAACCATCCGTAGATATGAAAATGCAATGGAAACCCATTTAACTTGTATTTTTTATTCGGTACATGGCAATTTAACCGCAAAAGTATTATGTGCGCTACGTCATCACGCACAGTCTTTTATCCGCAACAGGTCAATTTGATGGCAACACGTCTCTGGTGGGAATGTGCATAATTGTTTTTATGCGGATTTTAGAATATTCACATGAAAATCTGTCGCCAATTGGATGGGAACCTAGCTAGTAACACCAATTTATTGTTTATCTTTTAGTTGTGTCCTTTGGTTGTCCAGAGGAGGTGACTTTTACCATTCAATGGTACTTGAAATACTACCCCTGTCACAACGAGTTCAATAATATTGAGGTAAGTAAAGTACATGGACTAGCCTAGTTAGGGGAAATAACTTACTGTAATTACTAAGTTTTAAGTACGACAATTTAATTGTAAAATCATCAGGAATTCAGCTAAAAATGAGTTTAATGTAGGAAAAGAATGCATATGTGATAGTGCCTCAATGTAATCAAGGTATGAAATTATTGTATTTGAAAATAACGATCTCTTTTTGGGCTTAGTTGTGGTCAATTTGCAGTGTACAAATTATTATAATTATATTCCGGCCCACCGACCATACGCTCCGACAAAAATCTGTGCATGGCCGAATCTAGTTTCCTACCCCTGGTCTATAAGATGAAATCAGATATGAGTGTGTGGAGCAGACAGTGAGTGTTTGCCGTAGTCATGTTTCATTATCACTACCTTCGTAATGACTCATTCATTTGTTTAGGATTCCTATGGTAATACCACATTTTGACAGTTGGTGTGAATTACCAGACTATAATATGCACTTTTGGAGTTACTTTTAAATCTTGTCATTGCTCAAAGGAAATGTATGTCTCCCTACATTCAACTACTAATAAATATTGTTTAATATTGTATTTATTAAAAAGATGTGAAACTTTGAATATAAATCATTACTTTCAAGGAAATGTATGAGAGGACGCCACTGAGTCGAGGACAGAGTATGGATCCTAACCCTCTAGGACAAGGGGAATGCATTGAGCACAAGCACAAGCCCTTGACCTGCAACAATGACCTGCGATACTTCCCAATGCTAAATGTAAGGGCTTATAGGTTACATACAGTACATGAGTTACATTCCATTACAGGGCTTTTCACACTACTGGGCTGAACCGAGCTGTCCTGGTTACTCAGCTACCATAGTTGCTTGAAAAAAAAAACCTCATCAATCTACACACAATAGTGACAAAGTGAAAACCTTATTTAAAAAAAAAAAAAAGTACAAAAAAAAATATAAATAGATGCCTTATTTATGTAGGAAGAGTCTTGGTGGTTCCAAACTCTCTGAATGTCCTTTGAATGGCCTTGAGTGGCCCAGCCAGAGCCCGGACTTGAACCCGATTGAACAACTCTGGTGAGACCTGAAAATAGCTGTGCAGCGACGCTCCCCATCCAACCTGACAGAGCTTGAGCGGATCTGCAGAGAAGAATGGGAGAAACTCCCCGAATACAGTTGTGCCAAGTTTGTAGCGTCATACCCAAGAATACTTGAGGATGTAATCGCTTCCAAAGGTGCTTCAACAAAGTACTTAGGAAAGGGTCTGAATACTTATGTAAATGTGATATTTCTGTTTTATTTGAAATCAATTTAGCACAATTTTCTAAAAATCTATTTTTGCTTTGTCATTATGGGGTGTTGTGTGTGTGTAGATTGATAAGGGGGGACGAAAACTATTTAATCAATTTTAGAATAAGGCTGTCACAAAATGTGGAAAAAGTAAAGGGGTCTGAATACTTTTATTGGTTGCAATTATTGGTAAGAATAATTTGTTTTGGAAGTTGTTGTTTGACTTACTGACAACTTACTATATGACAACTTTGTTTCAGAAAGCCAAGGCGGAACCACGGCCAGTTGTCCCGCCCATGGAAGGAGCAGCACCGGTGAGATACTATGATGGGGTCATGATGTTTCACTCTGATGCATCACTTTTTTAGCACACACAATCACTTTCGGCTATATTGCCAATTCCTAAGGTCATTGTCAATGACCATAGGAGTTGCCGTTGGCCATATATAGCATGCACAACGAGATATGGGACGAGGCGATCACTTTTTCAGATTCTCTTACATTTCTGGGATCTCTAAATACATTGCATAATGCATATAAACACTATTTTTAAAACGCATGTTGGTTCAACCCTACCCAGGGTTTGGATGAAAACTACACCAAATGGACGATGGAGGAGTACGACAAAGTCAGCAGTGTGAAGAATGCCAGTGTGTCACTTAAAGATGACGTCATCGCCACCACGTGGAAGGACGGCCCCTACCTGCTGGTGGTGGTGATTAAGTCTAACAAACAGGAAGCCAACTGGAATCTAACAGGTGGGTTCACTACATTAACCACAATGCGCCTCAGCTGGGTTGTGTTCATTAGCCACCAAACAGAAAAATACAGACTGAAACAGGGAGGGACCACCAGAACTAACAGAAGAAAATTGACTGAAACGGGGAGTGACTAGCTAGCTGGACTCGTTTTTGTTTTCCGTTGCTAAAATGTTATGGTTATCTACCCAAAGAACACGACCCAGTTCTTGAATGTCAAACTTGTCCGTGAGGCTTACCAAGATGAAAATTACGTTTCTTTAGGCAGCTTAAATACTAATTGAAATTATTTAAAAGAATAATGCATTGGCTACCATTTTGATCACATTGCTCCATGTTGTATATTGTAACCCTGATTTATTTTCTGGGTTATGGATAGCTGATGTATACTCTTTATATTTCCAGTAAACGTCGTAATGAAAGGAACTCACGGCTACATCTCCATCACTGAATGGCCCCTCATGATCGTGAGTACACATTTCATTTATTCTATCCAATCCTTTATTTGAGTTGGGACAGAAACAATTAAACATTAAATAAACGACAGTCAGATGCATTGCACCATGACACTTTAGCTCATGCTAATTTCCAGTATACATTGTAGGTTTAATCATTGTCATAGATTGCAGACGCCTGTTTTACTCACTGAGTTCTCGCAGGGTTTTGTGTTGTATCTTTATGTAATATAATATTGTATATGCCATTTATCCAAAGCGTCTTAGTCATGAGTGCAAACCATTTCTACATACGGGTGGCCCTGGGAATCGAGCCCACAATCGTGGCGTTGCAAGTGCCATGCTCTACCAACCGAGCCATATAGGACCTTGTTGTTTGTTCAGATGACTAAAGACCTTTTTCAGGCATGATGAAACTGGATGCTGTGCAGTCACAGGTCTGACAGTGATCAAACAAACCAGTTTGTCAAACTTTGATGTACTTTTGGAGGTACGTTCTAACTCCCCACATGCCTTAGCTTAGCGGGCTAATGCTCTCTTCAGGCATGCAGGAAACCCGGTTAAAGCCCTGTATCATTGTAGTTGAGTATTATGTTTTAACACCGATCTCTCTCCCAGTTCTACATGGGGATGTGTATTGTGTAGATCCTGTACGATGTACCATTACTCTGGTTCATGTGGTCAGCCTGCTACTGGAAGAACCTATATTAACATTTCTCTATCTTTTTCTCTTTCTTTCCCTCAGTTCTACATGGTGATGTGTATAGTGTACGTCTTGTATGCGTTACTCTGGTTCATGTGGGCTGCCTGCTACTGGAAGGACTTACTGAGGATCCAGTTCTGGATAGCTGGAGTCATCTTTCTGGGCATGGTGGAGAAGGCAGTGTTCTGTGCTGAGTACGAGAACACCAACGGTGTCGGGGCAGCTTGTGAGTCTACACCACTACTACTACTACTACTACTAGGACTAGCTCTCTGTCTGATGAGTGGTTTAAAGAGTAGTAAGATCCTCTGTAGACACGGCTGTGCTGAGTATGAGGACACCAGCGGTGTCAGGGACAGCCTGTGAGTTTACAGTACACTACACCCAGCTCTCACATTGATCCGCTCCCAATTCTCTCCCTACCCCTTCCTCTTGGCACTAACCATTTCAATGTTTTGCAAATCTGAAGGGTTTGAATAGGTAGGTATAAGCAGTGTAGTGATGATGGTGCTTCCACCATATTTCTTCTACCTTACAGATTTGCTTAGAGCGAAGGGGGAGGTTTAGGGAGTGTTATTATTCCAAGCAATAAATAGTTTTTCTGCCTCGTGTGAGAGACCATGCATTCCAATGTTCTTGTTTTCAGCTCCAGGCCTGTTGATCTTTGCTGAGCTCATCTCTGCTCTGAAGAGAACCCTTGCACGGCTGCTGGTCATTATAGTCAGTCTGGGATATGGTATAGTCAAGTAAGTTGAGAGAAATAAAGGTCATCACACACTCACTGTCACTCCCAATTCTTTGATAGGTTAGCGTGCTGTCTATATTTAGTACATTTTCCTGCATTTTGTGTGTGTTTCCCATCAGGCCTCGACTAGGTACAGTGATGCACAGAGTGGTGGGACTAGGCGTCCTGTACTTTGGCTTTGCTGCTATCGAAGGTGTGCTTAGGATCACTGGGGTAAGGAGTTTTCCTGATCTTGCTCCAGTGAGCTTGCATTTAAAATGTCAAATTTCAGTTTTAGATAGGCTGCTGTTTTTCCCTCATGTGAGTTATGGCAATTACTTACAATAAATGTGTGTGTGTGTGTATATATGTATATATATATATATATATATATATATATATATATATATATATATATATATATATATATATATATATATATATATATATATATTTATTTCACTAAAGGGTCGTGACAATGGCCCTTTCCTCAATTATCATCCAGAGTTTATAATAATTACCCCACAATGCAACTCTAATGGTCAATAATAACAAAATAGGCCTACTTGTCTATCAGTGATACAGAATTTTACACATTTTGGTATTGCTTACTAATAGACTAGGTGCTGGGGTTATAATGTATCTTGTACAATTTAAACTGGAAGTTGGGTTGTATACTTATATTGTATACTGTAATTTGTATACTAAATCTTTCAGTGGGTGATTTTCTTTGTTTACTGCTCTGGTGAAAGGTTCTGTTCTCAATCTCCCCTGTTCACCCCATCACTTTTTCTTCCTCTGTTTCTTCTGTCTCTCCCTCTCATGACTTTAATCTTGCGTTCTGACGCTCGCTCCTATTTCTTCTCTCCCTTACTCTCAACTTTCCATCCACACTCTTTCCCCCCCGCTCTCCTATTTCTCTCTTACACTCGTATCCTCTATCTATCCCCTTCTCCTCTCCTCCTCCCTCAGGCGAAAGACTCTGACCTGGCTCTGTTGGCCAACATTCCTCTGGCTCTGCTTGACTCCTCTCTCTGCTGGTGGATATCCTTTGGTGTGCCTATAGCCCTACTTGGGCTCCTCTGTCCCCTGGGGGTGCCCCTATCCCTGGTTCCTACCCGAGGCTTCTCTGATCCTCAGTCTGGGGCCTACTCTGACCCTCCCTGGGCTTTAGGTTCCCCTGCTTCTATCGAAGGGTTCAATCCCAATCCAAAGGGTCTCTACATGCTAACCCTCTGTCTCTCACAGCTAGCTTCTGACATCTATAAGTAGAGGGCAAATAATCTGATCTCTCATGCTATCTCACTAGCTAGCTCATAGCTAGCTAACCTGTAAGTCTACAAGTAGAGGTCAAGTAATCCGGTCTTGCCCGTGGCCCCTATCCCTACCTGGGGCCTCATTTGGTCTTCGGGTTCAATCCCATTCCGACAGCTAACCCACTAGCTACCACACACAGAGGGCACATAATCCGACCTTGCATGCTGTTTTCCCTGCTGCTTTGCTAGGTTCTTCTCTGATTCCGTCTTATGCATGAAGTCTGTCAGTTACTCTACATACTGTCAGTGTCTACTGTCTAGCCCAGCCGTTGTTTCCTTCACTGCCTCCTAACATATTTGTGAGCCTGGCTCAAACCATAAAGACACTGAAGCTGAGGAGAAACCCAGTCAAGCTGTCTCTCTACAGACACTTCAGTAACACACTCATCTTTGCCATCATAGGTGAGTAAAGTTGTTAAATTGATGTATACTCTTTGCCCAGCACCAGATACTGGTCATACATTAATTAAATGAAAATAGTCTAATGATCCCTTTTTCCTTTAGCTTCAATCATTTTCATGGTGTGGACGACAAAAAAATTCAGGCTAGCAGATTGTCAGTCGGTAAGAATACATCTGTATTTGTTTTTAAATGTCTTGTGTTTCAAACGTTTTAACTAGAAAATATAAAATATACAAATGTGTGTTATCCAGTTCCTTTGGATCAATGTTTTTAGCATGCTCTGTATTTCTTGAGACAAATATCGAATCAACAGTTTTTATTTAACCAACACCTTCAGTATGTGGCTGTTTAACCTTCGTTAGTTGCAGTGATTAAATGTCACTGGATAAGAGTGTCTGCTAAATAACTAAGATGTAAATATACTGAATCCTCATGACTGACAATGTTTGCAACGTCCTATGTGGTCAGGACTGGATGGAGCTGTGGGTAGATGATGCCTTCTGGAGGTTCCTGTTCTCCATCATACTGCTGGTTATCATGTTCTTATGGAGACCATCTGCAAACAACCAGAGGTGATGATTGATCTGGCTGTTATATAACAGAAATGTCCATTGATCTAAGTGTTATCATCATGCACCTTAGCTACCTTGTTGAGTGTGCTGTAGATTTCTCAATGGCAATATGTTGACGTATCAAACCACCAACAGTCAGTCAGGGAGAAAGTGCCTCGCCTTTCGACTCTTCAAAGCTTCACAGAGGAAACACAAACTTAAACGGTCTTTCTCTAAATGCTCTGGGGCTTTATAAGGCTTTATAACTGTTCATAATGTTGAACTTTTCCTTTGTTCTCATCAGGTATGCGTTCACTCCTCTGATGGACGACTCTGATGATGAGGAGATCGAGGAGTTCCTGGTGTCAGCTAATTTAGGTACATTACAGTTCACTGTGAAGTAGTAGGTTTTTCATCTTCACTGTGTCATTGTTTAAACATTGACCATTGATCCTGATTTTTCTCTCTCCTCTCTGTTTCTTTCTCTCTCTCATTATCTCGCTCTCTTTATCTCTCTTCTCTATCTACAGCTGACGGCATAAAGTTGAGAGCCACCAACTCCAAGAGTGAGACGAACGGTTCAGCCAAGCCTTCAGGACCCAACCCGGTTAGTATCAAACGTTAAATTCAACTTAATTTCTTACCTCGGGCAATAAAGGAAGGCAAAGTCTGTTTACAAGGTTCGAATCAATATGAAGATATATGTAGTCTAGTAAATGACATGACTGAGTTTAAACAACAGGGGGCAGCATTGAGTAATCAATTGTCTGTCTGTCTTTATCATTCTCTCTTTTTCCATCTGTCCAGGATGAAGACATGAAGTGGGTGGAAGAGAACATTCCTACATCTTTAACAGAAGTGTAAGCATGACTTAGCAAAAAAGAATAGGTGTGTTTTAATAAAGTGATCACCGTTAGGTGGTGGTTGTATAAAAACACGTTTTGTCTTTCTGTTCCGCCATTGTAGAGCGTTGCCTGTCCTTCTCGACTCGGATGAGGTATGTGTATCCTTAACACAACAGCTCTCAAATTTGCCTCATTTCTGTCAATGGCAACATATATGGTTTGCTTTACTGTGCATTTCCTATAATGTTATTCAATTCTCAGATGGCAATATTATATGTAATATCTATGATATTAGAGAAAAATATCTAATATATTCTCTGTATTATTTTACCAGGAAATCATGACCACAAAATATGAAATGTCCAAGATGGAGTAACATGGAAAGTCTTCCTACTAACCACGGTGGACGCAGAGCATCTCTTCCTCCCTGAGATTGGTTCCTCGGGTTCCTCCTGCATGGCATGGAAGAGACACCTAGGCCTGTTTAGGCTGAGACTCAGACCTCTGTTCCACTACTGTGGCTTAACGCAACACCTCTGACTTGGCAATCAGCAGGGTCCTATTCATTGGGCATCAAACGGAAGAAAATTGATTCAAACGGTGAGGTACTATCTGAACTTGTCCAATAAGAAATGCTCATTTTAGTTTTCCTTTTCAAAGTGTTTTGTTATGTTGTGCCCTAATGTATTTGACCTATGTTATATGTGGGCAACAGAAAATGGTCCGTCTGTCGCTCACCCTCTGCAATACGCCTATTGTGTGTGTCCCAAATAGCACCCTTTTCCCTATATCCCTTTTATAGGGAATAGGGTGCCATTTGGGACATAACTTTTGTGAAAGACTTCTGTTCCAAAAAGAAAATACTTCACTTTATTTTAAATGCTGTATGTTTTTATTAACATTTTTTCTCACTAAACTAAACGTGACTTTATACTGTGTCTTGGAGAGAGGAACAAGCTGGTAGATTATTTCAACACCAATTGGACACACTACATAAGACATTACCAATATTATTATTTTGATAGATAACATTGAGGTGTATAGTAAACGTTATTTATTATATATTTCACTATGTGAAGCTTTATTTCTTCCGAACCAAAGTATAATGTGATGTGGGGGTGGGTGGGTGTTTGGTAAAGAGTTTGTGTGTTTGTCTAGGCTGGGACACAGGATTCATACGTGTAGTGTGAGTTACGCAGTACTAAACAGAAGTGTTCTTGATAATGTCAGTGTACTATTGCAGGACTTGAGGTCTGTTCAGGAGGATGTAACATAACAGAATGTTCAGATAGAAATGTATGGTGTAGAACAGATGATTCTTTCAGATATAAATGTATGGTGTAGAACAGATATGATCTTTCAGATAGAAATACACAGAATAGGGAATCATGTCAGCTCTATGCAATCTACTATCAATGTTCAAAAAGTTTCACATCACTGAATGGACCCATGAGGTTGGTAGAGGCAGTACTGTAATTGATGCTCACGTCATTGAGGAGTTGTGTGTTTGAATGTGAGTGGAGCCTGGTTCCAGATCAGCAATAACAGCGTTACAATGTCCATAGGAGTATGCAAGACTGCACAAACACACCTGGGACCAGGCTAGGAAGTCCTCTGTTTACGCTAGTCAAATAAAGAGCAATGTTATATATGTCCTATGACCTTGTAATGTTCACTTACGCTCCTCTGGTACCCTCCATTTACCTGTTTTACATTGGTTGTGCCCTAAATGGTACCCTATTCCCTAAATCAGGGGTGTCGAACTCATTCCATGGAGGGCGGAGTGTCTGCAGGTTTTGGGGTTTTTCCTTTCAATTAAGCCCTAGACAACCAGGTGAGGGGAGTTCCTTACTAATTAGTGACCTTAATTAATTAATCAATCAAGTACAAGGGAGGAGCGAAAACCCACAGACACTCGGCCCTCCGTGGAATGAGTTTGACATGTGTGCCCTATATAGTGCACTACTTTTGAACAGCTCCTTATGGGCCCTGGTATAAAGTAGTGTACTATATAGGGGATAGGGTGCCATTTGGGACAAACACAAAACGTGGTTGTTATTTATTTATGTTTAAGTGTACTTACACCTTGCTTTATTTAGTTTTGTTTACTCTATAGGTTCATTTATGGGGTTATTGTGTGATAAGTTTCAATGTTATTTCTGATATGCTGTCTTTCTATCTAACCTTTTCTAAAACTATTTTAAAGGAGAAACTATTGGAAATGACTTTTGTCTCATTGATTAATTCATGCATGTGTTTGTTTTGTTTAGCCATTGAAAAGTATGTGGCTACGACTCCAACACCCCGATCTCCATCTTATGTTCTGTAATGGTTTAACAGTTTCAAAGTATAGATTTGTTGTGCACCATTTCTGTAACGGTAATCGGTACTGGTGCCAGTTTAATGGTGTAGGTGTCTGAAGTTTTCAGATGTATATGAGACAATGTGGGGGTGTTAGTCTCGTGTGGACATTCCCGGTCCCAAATGGGAGGATGTTGGATTGGTCCATGTTGTGCTCTGCAGCCTTCACCTAGGTTAGGGAGTTATAAGTTCACGCACTCACAACCTCAACTATTCCCTAGGACCTGTCCAGAAACAACCACTAGGTCCTACCCACTAGATTTTCTTACAACTTGCATAGGTAGGGTCTAGGTGTCAGTTTGGGAATCGGGCCCTAGTGTATGTAGAGCTTTCCCTAATTTATATAAAGTCAGATTGAGATTCTTACACAGAACCTGACATTCTTCTTCTCTTTATGATCATTATTTCCCTCTTAAGTAATAGCCTACAACGGTATGTCTCTCTCAGAGTTGGTTATTTTCACAGAACAGACTGGTTTTGGCTGACTGTTAGTCATAATAATTTACCAGGTGACTGAATATTTACTGCCTTATACCTATTTTTGGAAGGGTTAATGTCTTCAGAACTATGCTTGAACATTTAATCCCAGGGCCTGTATTCATAAAGCTTCTGAGTAGGAGTGCTGATCTAGGATCAGTTTAGCCTTTTAGATCTTAATGAATAAAATGGACACATTTACATTTTAGTCATTTAGCAGACGCTCTTATCCAGAGCGACTTAGTGAGTGCATACTTTTTTTTTTTTCATACTGGCCCCCCGTGGGAATCGAACCCACAACCCTGGCGTTGCAAGCGCCATGCTCTACCAACTGAGCTACACAGTTTCCTGTTGCAAAATGTTTTGCTACATTGCGCCTTAATGAACACGACGCAGCTTTAGCCTGCCAAACGCAGCTGCTAACATCGCAGAATACACTTCATTATAATGCCTCGTTTTTAAAATTATTATTCTGGACACCTCATTCTGATCAGCACGCCTACTTTGAGATGCTTAGTACTGTACATATGGCTCCAGATCAATTTGGCTTGTTTTGTCTTTTTATTTCTGTTGAGAGAGATAGAGAACAGCACAATGTTATTAGTATGCCAAACTGTAAATCTGTATTTATGGTGTTTGTTGAACATCTTTGTTTTCTGATCTATTATTTCAAATAAATGATTAATTTAATTGTAAATAAAAAAAAATGTTTTACATATGTTTTTGTTTTGCAGTCACAGGATAACAGATTATAACCTCTGATCATTAGATCATCATTATTAATATTAGTTGGTTACCCAGCCCTGATCCAGTCAGGGAGATTTGCTGTGCGATCATCATATGATGATGCGGACAGAGTGCCATATTGGTGTACTTACAGCAGGGATGGGCAACTGTCAGTCAGGATCTCAACTTACTGTTGGGAGGTAGAATACACAAGGTGCAATACCCAATGGCCAGGTATATAAACATGTAGTAATCAAGGTCGAATTAAAGCCTTAGGGGCCCTCGTTGATTTTGTTAGTCTCACATAGATTTCATATTAAAAACTGCAAACATTTCTCTCCGCCCCATAGCAAAATGAGGAGAATTGCACCAAGTTAACTCTAAAACTAAAAATGTGCATTCAATTAGTTATAAAATTGCTAAATATTCTCTCTGCCCCATGGCAAAATGTGTAGAATTTCTGCAAACCAGCTTTAAAATAGCATTCTTTTCTCTACACCCCATGTGTAGAATTGCACAACATTTTTTATGTAAAAAATTCTCTCCCCATCAAAGTTGACCATCCCTGACTTACAGTATACCTCTGGCAGCAGTCTGTTCTTCTGTTAGATTTGACATCTTGATTTAGATTGAACTGTCCTGGCAGGTTCCTTACCCAACCATGCGCTCATGTATTGACTTTGGGTGATTTCCTCTAGTCTAGTGGAATGAGATGTTCTGTTCCGTTTGCACAGCTGTTCGTGTGATGCAGACAGCACAAGAACGAACTCATTTTCATCTGAAGTCAGAGAAACCTCTCAGAATATTTACACATTCTGTATTTAACATAAGGGCGTTTTAGGACATTGGTTATCACCCTAATAAAACAGACTTAAGTGTTTAAGACATTATGTTCATAGGGAGATAACCAGACTAAGCAGTTTTCTTCTGCACTTTGAATCTTATATTTTCAAAGTGATAATTAGCTTCCGTCCTTGAATGTTCTGTAGACAAATGAATGGGTGTACGGCCTACTATAGAGAATCAACATGTTCCCAACCAAGTGTTCCTGACTTGCGTAAATGAACCCAATCTGTTCCACAGAAGGCTATGAGCCTTCAACAGGCTGTTAGTTGCATTCGTTACCACATTATCTAGGGACCACGTCATGTGAAATCTACAGCAACCCCATGCACATATGTGTCATGTCACAATGAAAGCTTGTTTTCCAGTAAAGTTTTTAAAGAACGCTTTCTTTCTTCAAAGGGATCAAGTGAAAGTAGGCTAAATTACACAGTGTTTGTTAGAAACCCGATTGCTCCAGTCCAGGGGCTTTGCACTAGTATGGGGTTATGAAACCGCTTAGGAAAGCCAACCAGATCCTTATGTTGACACAAACAGGGGAACAACAAGCATTTAACAAGGTGAGTGACACAGCCTGTGCCAAGCCGTTCCCTCCCCCTTGGCCCTAGAAGT